ATCTTTACAGAGTGTGGTGGTTCTTTTGTTTACACTTCTCTCACTATTGTACTAGGCTAGCTTTAGTCATTGTTGTATACACCAAGGTTGCTTTTTATTTTGCATGCTTTGTGTGTCATTTCTGTCTGGCTTATGCACTTGCACTTCAATTGGATCTAAGATCTTGCAGATTGAGTTTGCTCTTTGGCTTTCACATTGAAATATTGATCCGTCATATTGATCATTGCCGTCGTTGTCACCGTATTTGTATCTGACAAATTTCTTTACGAAATTCATTTTAGTGCTGATTGTAACTTTGTAGAAAAGACGAATTTACCAACCAAGAGCGTGTAAGTACAGTTGTTTGGTTATTATTATAATCCGAGTGGGGCACCGCGAAATAAATACCGTCCAGGTCAATCTTTCTGGTAGTAGAAGTTAAATTAAATTTACCGACGATAAGTAATTAGCGTCGATAAGATTTAAATTATATTACACATTCTCTCGATATTATTAGTATTGGATATTGAGATGGAATCACCACCACGGTAAAAATTAAATAATTACCGTAAATGCCAGATGAAAAATAAGGACACCGAGATTTACGTGGTTCACCCTTCAACTATTATGGGCTACGTCAACGGGACAAAAACTCCGAATAATTCTTCCACTAAAAATAATAGGTACAAGAGAGATTACAAAAATAGTGGCACTCTAAGTGTTTCCCAAAAAACACCCAAAAAATTATAATCCTCATTATTTTCTCTCTTTTTCAATTTTAGGACATTTTCCTAAAATTACACTCCTTTATTTTTGTGTGTTTATGTTTTTGTGTCTATCGAAGCAGCTTGGAGAAGAAAGTGCACACATCTCATGCAAACTGTGAACACAGCTCATATGAGTGAGATGTACACAACTGATGTGTATGAACATTAATCCCACATGAGCTGTTTCTTTTTTTTTATTTATTTAAAACATGTGTGTGGGTCCCACGTGTCGGAGGGAGCCCACAACATTTCTTCCCTTTTCAGCACATCAGGCCGGGTATCCAAATCAAATCTTTGAAGAAATGCGTCTGGTCCGGTTTCCAATGCATTCAAATCAAATCTTGGAAGAAATCTGTTATGATTAAGTTCGTCGTTGCATGATCTTGGAAGAAAATTTCTACGAGAAACTTGAAATTTTCTTTGATGATTAAGTTCATCCTCGTGTGATCTTCCTTCTATAACCTTCTTCGCAGACTCGCCGTCATCAAACATCGGGAATAGGCCGCACTTTTTCACCCGCAAGATATTGCCATGAGTGAGAAGAACAGCTTTGAGCAGAGTTGAGGAGCCCCTTATCAACTTGAGTGGCGGGAGGAGCCCTTATCAACTTGAGTGTTAGCAAGATGGGACTAAATTTTACGCAACCACCATGATATGATCCCCTTTAATCTCGTAACTTCTATTAAGAACAATGCCAGTATCGGAAATCAACTTCTTGTTTTCGTGCATCAAATAAAATTCAAGGCAGAATTGCATTTGCATGGTTGGATCGTTATTGGAGATTGCTAGAGAGTCGTGGTCATAATTGACTTCAAGAACGGCCCAAAGAGCAAACCCCCTGAAATAGTTCCAATAGAAACCCCTAGGCACACTTATTCGCACTGAAGAACCCCTGGACTCGAAATCGGACCATACTGGAATTCGATTTCCAGGAACAATAATAGTAAATTCAGCAAAAAAATGAGATGGTACCTGTATCATGAAAAATCATGATTGTGTGTTAGAGAGAGATCCAATACTATGAAAGGCAAGAGTTAGGAGCTTATTAACCTGAAAAAAAAATAATAATAAAGGTCTTGAGAGATGGAGAGACCTTGAGAGATGGGAGGACCTTAAACGATTAAGTATGTGCTCAGTAGCTTTCAACTGCTATAGTTAGTTGCATTGCCATACCATCTGAAGCATATAATAAATGGTGGAAACCATCAAATGCACAATATATTCAGCTTTAGGATAACATGCTCACTACATAGTATCAGAACGGCGTTTCTGTGTGCTTCTTTATCCCAACATATTTGTGCTGATGGATTGACAGGTGGCACATGGAGGAAAGACATTGCGTTGCAAACAAATGACTTCGAGGATAATTGGCATTTTATGGAAAGACCATTGCAGTCTGCCAAACAAATGACTTCGAGATAATTGGCAATGGTTTCAGGAGGTAACCTGGAAAAGTTGTTTCCGCTCAGATTTAATTTCTTCAAAGAGTATAACATTCCCAATTCCGTAGGGATTGACACATCATCCAAATTGCAGTAGCTTAAATCTAGACTTGTTAAATAGGATAAATTTCTAAAAAAACATTTTCTGATATTGTCCCTATCTAATTCTTCCTGCATGGTTCCTCTGATGTTTACAAATGGAAATCCTTCACATCTGTGGAAGGACAGCATTTTAAGCTTCACAAAAGAGCATATGGAGAGTGGTGGATGTGTTATTTTCGTTCCACCTACATCAAGTTCTTCCAAATTTTCCAACTTCTCCAACTTCTCTAGCAATTGATTAAGATGAGAGCAGCCAGAAAAGTAAATAGTTCTCAGATGCTTTAAACCATTACCAAAGTTACAAGGAAGGAGTTGTAGATGTGCACAATTCCTGGCACTCAAAAGAACAAGGCCCGTAAGCTTTTCAATAGATGGAGGTAGTGCTTGTATAGCAGTGTCATCTAGATAAAGCTCTGACAAGCGGTCCATATCACCCTTGATCGCAGGAAATGTCTGAAGCTTTGAGCATCCAGACAGTATGAGGATCTCAAGAGAAGATGTACGAATTTCACTAGGAAAATTTTGAAGATTTGAGCAGTCTTTCAGATTTAATAATTTGAGAGATTTTAAATAATTTGAGCTTCTAAGAGACTCAGAGAGGAGTGACCTTCATGTTAAGTTCTGTGACCTTGAAGAATTTATTATCTTTCAAAGCTTGTTTGGCATCCCTTGTCGAAATCCGTGTCTATTTATGAGTTTCTGGAATGAACTTAGTTTGCATGACTATTACAATTTATTCAACATTTTCTGTCCAAAAAGAAAAAAATTCAAATCATTTTTAGCCTGGTGAATTTTATATCATATTAGACGAGAACTAAAATTAAGTTGAACTAATAATTATACCTTCCTTTTCTTCGTCCAAAAACTCTGTCACGTTGCTGTTGAACTATGTTAAGTTCACAAAGCGTTTCGTGGATATACAAAAATGAATAATTGGTGGCAAGTTTTCAATGGGTATATCCATGCCAACTTAGATTGCATCGCAAAATGCATTCGATAAAGTAAGAATAGTCAGCCTAGAAGAGTCACATTTGATAGATTCTAAAGGTTATTTACTTTACTTCATGTGTGCCTCGGTAGAGAAACTGATGTTAGCCATTACAAGTGACTGTTTATTTGGATAACGGTTGCCAAAGCCTCCAGATTTGCATTAAGATAGCAAACCTTAAGCAATCTAAGGCAAACCTTAAGCAATCTAAGTTTGGTCATGCTCTCGAAGACTTCAGTGTTAATGTGCAAGTTCTCTATTTTAGACAAATCTAGGATTATGCCCACAACTTCCGCCACCTGTAACCAAGAGCACAGACAAGACATATAGATATGCTACATCTTTAGTGGGGTGGGGGGAGAATTGGACATTGTATGATCCACTGTAAAGCAAGTAAAAGAAAAAAAAAATTCAATGAATTTATTTCTTACTGTATTGTTTGCAAACGAAGTGCAGACATCATTATGATCCCACAATCTGGTCCATTTGCCTGGATCAGTTTCAGGTTGACGAACAATTTCCCATCCCATTTGTTGTACTAAATCATGCATCCAAAGTTTATTATCTAAAATGGAGATGAGAGATTTATCAATGAGAACTCTTAGATTAGCATGTGGGAAGAACCCACAGCCTTCAAATACTTTGACAACATAATCTTTGTCCTCCCCCTTAAAGAAACATGCAATATCAAGAAACATATCCCTTTGGAAACGATTATCAAGTCTATCAAAACTTATTTTAAGCACATCATTAATTCCTTTTGATTATCCTTTGGACAACGATTATCAAGTATAATCAAAACTTATTTTAAGCACATCATTAATTCCTTTTTGGCGGGACACCATTTTCAAGTTGGTGCAATTCGTTTTCTGAGCCATCTCAAAGTTCATTCTTGCCAGCTTACAGTGGCGAACAAGTAACCTCTCAAGCTAAAGGACCATTTCTGAGCATACTTGACCACATTTGTGTGAGGGGTAATCTTGAAATTGTTGTTCGAAAGTTTCACATTCTTGCAATAGCTAGTTTTTTTTTTGCGGCTATGTTGCAGTAAATAGCGATTGTTAGAGATTCATTATTATTTAAAGTGTTTTGGCTCGTTTCTTTGATCACTCACCTATGGCTCAAATCAGATGTTTTTATCTCTAGTTGTTTATGATAATTCTTTTTTCACTTTATACCAAGGACCAATACTCATTTTTATGTCTCTCGAGCTTAATTTTTACTCAACTGTTTCTTTATTCATCCACTTTATCTTATCATTAAGAACAATAATTTGTGAACTTACGCATGTTTATGTGGAAATGTTCTTTATGATTCATCAAGACTTGTTCACCTAGTATTCTTATTTTTTGAATTTTCCTTCGTTCTAGATAGTTAGAAAGTAAGTTTTGCTCCTGTAAATGGACAAGATTACCTTTTCTTATTTATAATCCAGGTTTCTTGCCAACTTTTTGGTAACACCTGAAGAAAGCCAAAAACATCCAAATTAGCCTATAGATACGGTTCTTTAACAGCTTATTAGCTTTTTATGTGGAAATGATTTTAACCGATTTTCCCATGCCCCATTTATATTCCAACATGAGATTCATTGTTTTTTCAACCCCATTGTATTTCGATTCCATTTCCTTTTACTCACGGAAATCCATTCATTACTAAAGGCCTTTGAGTTACCTTATATGATGCTAGTATGACTACAGTCTTTCCTCAAATACAGATGTTCTATATTCAATCAATTAAGAATCGCTTCCTCTCTGCCATAGTTGAAGGGTCGAAAAAATTCAATTATAAGAGTCTTCGATACAAGAGAAACAACAGTGGAAGAGCTTACAAGCAAGCAATTAAAGAAGAGTCGATACAAGAGAAACAACAGAAGAAGACTACAAGCAGCAATTAAAGAAGCTCAAAAGAGGATTATGCAGTTCTAAACAAGCTCAGAAATTAAAGAAGACATAAGCAGAAACCATATAATTTGTAGCATAATTTGTTTGTTAGATAATCAAAATCACGAAAATAAAAATCATAAAATGGATTACCTGTTTCGTGCATCCCATCCAGACATGTTGCCAGCCTTTGTAAGAGCTAATGTCCAACGCTCAACCATCTCAGGAAATTTCAGTTTTGATTTAGCAAATCCTTCTCCAAATACACCGGTTTGCTTGCTCACCTCCGATGGGTCAACGTTGTAAAAAATTGGCAAAACTGCATCTCTGGCTTTTGTTTTTGAATTTTTCAGTACATCAGTCTTTGTATCTTTCTTAGGATCTGGGATACGTTCAACAATCTTCCCAAGTTCATCCAAGCAAAAAGTGGAATCAGCATAGTTCTTAGAAAAAACTACTACACAAAACCTTGAATCCTCAATCGCTTGAAGGAGTGATGGAGTGATTGTTTCTCCTTTGTCAAGTTTCACATCATCTTTGCAGGTTTTAATTCCTTTTTCTGTCAAAGCCTTGTACAGATGGCTTACAAAGTTATTCCGAACATCCTCACCTCTAAAACTCAAGAAAACATCATATCTCCAAACTCGGGAAGCGGCAGCCACATCTGCAGTCGCAGAAACGGAAGTTCCAGCCTCAGCAGCTTTTGAAGAAGATGCTACAGAATAAGAGGTCACCTCTAAAACTCAAGAAAACATCATATCTCCAAACTCGGGAAGCGGCAGCCACATCTGCAGTCGCAGAAACGGAAGTTCCAGCCTCAGCAGCTTTTGAAGAAGATGCTACAGAATAAGAGGCCATCGCAGCTTTTGTTGCAGAATTCGCAGCAGTATCAGAAAGAGAGACTGCCAGTGTCAAAGTCCCTTCATGTTTGGCTCTGCCCTATGTTTTTAGGTATATTTACGCGCTCTAACGGCGAGAGGTTTTATTGAAAGGTCAACACAAGCATGCGAGTAAATTAATTATATTATTTTTAATTTAATATTACTTTTTAAAAAAATTATTAATAATTAATAATTATATATAAATAGTAAATATAAAAAAATATAAAAAAAATTATATACTTCGTTGAAATCACAATATAATAAATATTATATAAAAAATAAAGATAGTATAAATAAGTTTTTAATATAATTTTTATAATTAAAAAAAATGTTAGAAGAGATTTGTAATCAGTTACGTTCCTATTGTTAATATTATCTTTAATTAGTCTTTAAGTAATATTAATGAGATTAAATTTTATTTTCTTACATTAATATTAAATTATTATATATAAATAGTAAATATAAAAAAAAATTATTACTCGTTGAAATCACAATATAATAAATATTATAAAATAAAGATAGTATAAAATAAGTTTAATTATTTATAATTAAAAAAAATGAGAAGAGATTGTAATCAGTTACGTTCGTTAATAAACTATTAGTCTTTAAAAGTAATAGTAATTGAGAAAAAATTTTATTTTTTAATTAATATTTAGAATTCTTATTAAATTTAAAAATATTTTAATTTTTTTTATTATTGAAAAAGAGATTTGAATCTGAATTTATTATATTACGTAATTATAAAATATATATTTTAATAAAAAGGGATAAAAGTAACAAAAACATATGGCTCTACAAAACAACTTAATGATAAATTGATAAAAACAACGGAGTAATGTCGCAGAATTCCATTTTTCACGTGATGAACATTAACATTAGGGACGCTGCTTTCACGTTAACGGATGTTATCATGTTATGGTGTTTTACTGACCATATGATATCACATAAACGACACTTTATATATTAAATTTTGAGCTGAGCATTTTGATTAAATTAAAATTTTATTTCGATTAATTATATTATTGGGTGACATATGTTTAGTGGTTTAGAGATATCAATTTTTTTTTTTCACAATCATATTCAAATTGTGTTTCCTCGAATTTAGCTAATTAAATATCTAATGTCCTTTTATATAAAAACTAAATAATAAAAAATTTAATTAAAAGCTAAATATTAAACGTTACTCTTAAAAGCTGAATGTTAGAGTATTTAACAATTTATAAAAAAAAAATATTAAATGGTTTATAAAAAGCTCCATCGTATTAGTGCCCTTATAAAATAATAAATAATGTTAAATTATAAAGATTAATTGTGTGTGAGTGGTTGTCTAATCAACTAAAAAAGAAAAGAAAAGAAAAACTATTAAAACAAAAAAAATATAAATAAAGAGAAAAATGAAAAAATATTAAAGTTAATGGCATATCGTAAGTCAACTATAAAAATATAAATGGAAAAAGAAAACTAAAATAATAAAAGTTGATGAAGTGCATTGGCGTGAGTCGAACACAGTCCAACTTAGTACAAAACATATCATTATTGTTACAAACCAAAACATTGTTGCTACAAGCCAAGAGGGATTAAAATTAAAATATTCCATTAAAATTTTTTATTAAGACGGAAAATAGGCCCCCTGCCCTCACTTCAAGAAAATTGGGTATTTTAAGTTGCAAGTTGAAGTTGATACATATGTATTTGTATAGTTCAAGCCCCACGGCAGGCCAAATTTTTGACAAAATGCGTCTGGTCCGACGGTTTCCAATACATTCGAATAAGATCTGGCTTCCGATGCATTCAAACCAAATCTTTGAAAAAATGCGTCTAGTCCGGTTTCCAATCCATCCATATAAAATCTGGCGTCCAATGCATTAAAACCAACTATTGGAGCCATAATGTCACGATAAAGTTCTTAATGTCCTTTTTTTTTTTTTACGTAACTATCCAAATAATAAAAGACTTTATGTGATAATAATAATTCAGAATTAAATTTGAGAATAAAATTTCAAAATATTGGCAACAATAAATCTCTATATTTAGGCGATAATAAATCAGATTTGGAAACAAATCTAAGGATTATTTCCAAAAAAAAAGCAAGGAGGTGACCACCAGTGAGAGCTCACCGGTGGCTGCCTATAAAAGAAGAAAAGAGAATTTTTAGATTTTAGGTTTTGAGAGAAGGAGAGAGAACCGCACAAAATCAACAAGATTTAAACTTTGTAAATACAATTTTAAAATTCAAGAGAAGTATCTATAAGAGAGAGACTACAAAAGCCATGGTATAATACTATGATATTGTGATAAATTGATTACTCCTTATGTTCCATAATTTGTGTCCTGATTTGATTTTTATACATATTAAGATTAAAATTAGGATAATAATATTTTGAAATATGGATAGAGTAAGAAATTTAGTAAATAATTATAGAACCGATTAATTGTTATTTAATCTTGCTTTATGTATCCAAAAGATTAGTTGAGTTGAGAGTTTCTTCTTTTCTTTTTTGAAAACTCTTATAGTCGTAGAAAACTCGAATTTAAAACTTCTCACTCCTCACATTAGTGAAAAGATCAATAAAAGATCAATAAAATCATATCTGATTGGCTAGAGATTTCTTTCTTTATTAATCAAGGAAATATTCGATAACAATTCAACCATAAAAATGCAGTACGGCCTTGAAATTTATTTGATGCACAACTATAAGATGTATTCTGATACTGAATTTGTCATCAATAGAAATACTAAGCCTGTACATCCAAACTGAGAAGAAAGCTGGACAGTTCGAGGCAGCTGAAGGATGATCTTTTCATTCGTGGCCAAGGCTTGCGGGTGAAAAAGTAAATAATTTAATTATGCGACTGAGGGAGCAATACTTAAATTTTAATAATTTAATAGTATTATTTATAATTTATTATTATTGAATTGTAGATTTACATGCAATTGTATTTTTCATAACAAATGTCAAAGAGAAAGGGAAAGATTTACCTATATACCGGTGTACATACTCACCCATATATTAAATCAATTAAACTTAATTTTTTAATTGAAATGAAAGTATATGTAACTATTTACTGGGTAAAGAAGAGAATAACTATAAATCATTTTTAAAAAAATCCCTTCATTGATTGGTTTGGTGTATGGGTGGACTCATACCAGTTTAGGCAAGGCTTGTTCACAAATTTAGGAAAAATAAAATATTTCTCTACTCCCGATAACTGACTCATATACTAAACCAACCAAAATTAATTTTAGATTGAAGCGATGGTATTTTTATCATTCATTGAGAAAAAGAAAAGATAAAATAAAAATAATTTTAAAAATAATCTCTTCAGTTAAATGTTCGGATGGATCTATATACTAGATATAAGCAAATCTTATTTCTATTTTACATGTGATTAGGGAGTGAGCATTCAGTTCGACCAATTCGATTAATTCAGCCAATTTGATTGAATAAATATTCAGTTAAAAAAATTAAATTTTTAGTGATCGATTAAAGGTTCAGTTAAAAGTTAACCAACTGAATTAATCAAATTAACCAAGTCTCAAAACTATGTTGTTTTAATTGAGTAGATAATAAAATAAAAAATTAAACATATTTCAGTTTTTATTTTGATCAAGTGGTGATTAGTAATGTGACATTCCGACCCGGCAAAGCGATTCTAAGGAGACGGGTAGAATTAAAGTCCTCCCGAGCTTCTAGGATGGCAGGTTAGCTATAGATAGTGGAATGTGGGACACATGAATGAATCGAATCATATATCGACAAGAAAGAAACTAATCATTAGAGGCGCCTTTGATGAAATGGTTAGAGAGTTAGAAGAATTCCAGATTAAGCGTGCTTGCTTAAGTTTCTCATTTCACCTGTGTGACAAAACCGTACGGATCCTGCTAATATAGTATGAGATAGATTCGACGGATTCGGTTTGATCCAAAGCGGATCATTCCTCTGGTGATTAGAGTCAGGCGTTACAAGTAAATTCGGTTAATTTTTATTTCGGTTAGAATTAATTAATCATAAATTTTGGTTAAATGCTAATATAGTATGAGATAGATTCGACGGATTCGGTTTGATCCAAAGCGGATCATTCCTCTGGTGATTAGAGTCAGGCGTTACAAGTAAATTCGGTTAATTTTTATTTCGGTTAGAATTAATTAATCATAAATTTTGGTTAAATGCTAATATAGTATGAGATAGATTCGACGGATTCGGTTTGATCCAAAGCGGATCATTCCTCTGGTGATTAGAGTCAGGCGTTACAAGTAAATTCGGTTAATTTTTATTTCGGTTAGAATTAATTAATCATAAATTTTGGTTAAATGAGATAGATTCGACGGATTCGGTTTGATCCAAAGCGGATCATTCCTCTGGTGATTAGAGTCAGGCGTTACAAGTAAATTCGGTTAATTTTTATTTCGGTTAGAATTAATTAATCATAAATTTTGGTTAAATGCTAATATAGTATGAGATAGATTCGACGGATTCGGTTTGATCCAAAGCGGATCATTCCTCTGGTGATTAGAGTCAGGCGTTACAAGTAAATTCGGTTAATTTTTATTTCGGTTAGAATTAATTAATCATAAATTTTGGTTAAATCAGTCGGTTAATTAGATTTTTATTTTTTTTAACTTCAGTTCGATTGATGATCAAAATTAATTTAAACAAAACGATGTGAATTTGGATTAAATAAAAAAATTTTAATTTATTTCGATTAAATATATTATTTAAATTGACCGAATATTCAGCCATACATATATTAAATATACATATAATATATTGCTTCGTGTAGTACAACTTAAGGGAGAACTCTCCTTATTTTATTTTTGCCCAATATCTATTGGCAATTTATAAAATTGCCATCACCTAACGCGGCGAACTTTTATGTTTTTTTTAAATTCTCCTCTTCTAATTAAGAAATGCTCATAATGCAGAAATGCTAACGAATCATCTTATGGACATGGCCAATTGTAAACAACTGCCACTCAGCGTTGTATATACATATACATATATATATATATATATATATATATACACATATATTGTATTGTATATTATTGAGCTTTCAAGTCTTCTGCATGTGAATCGTGGAGTCAACTCTTCTCTATTACCATGAATATAACTTGTTTGCTAAATTGCTCGAACGAATATGGTATTGGTTACGTTTAGACAACTAATTTTTCAAACACTTTCAGTTCCGAAATCCTACTGATTCCATTTTTTGTACCCTGCTATGTGTTCTTCCTTCCGCACTGGTAAAGCGGCGGCCACTTCTTCTTCTGCAAATACTGCGACTGCAACTACACCGGTCTCTTCTACTTCTCCTGCCATAGATGCTCCTACTGTGGCCCCTGCGACTGCTGATACTGATACTGTGGCAGCGCCTCCTTTAGCTGCTACAACGGTGACTGTGGCGGCATCTTCATCTGCAGCTGCGAATGAAGGGGCTTTGACTGTGGCGGCCTCTTCTTCTTCTACAAATGCTGCGACTGCAATTGCGGTGGTATCTTCTACTGTTCCTGTCACAGATGCTGCTACTATGGTTCCTGCGACTGAGACCGCTACAACAATGGCCGCTGAGACTCATACTGTGACAGCGCCTCCTCTAGCTGCTGCAACTGTGTCCGTAGCAGCATCTTCATCTGCAGCTGCGACTGAGGGGACTTCGACTGTGGCGGCCTCTTCTTCTAATACTGCTTCGAATTCTACAACAACAGCTGCCATGGCCTCTTATTCTGTTGCTTCGAATGTTGCTGCTGCCACTACTGTTGTAGCATCTTCTTCAAAAGCTGCTGAGCCAGCTGCTGCAAGTGGAACTGAGTTCTCTGAGACTGCAAATATGGGCTCCACTTCCCGAGTTTGGACATATGATGTTTTCTTGAGTTTTAGAGGTGAGGACGTTCGAAATAGCTTTATAAGCTATCTGTACAAGGCTTTGACTGGGAAAGGAATTAGAACTTTCAAAGATGATGTGAAACTTGACAAAGGAGAAACAATCACTCCAGCACTTCTTCAAGCAATTGAGGAGTCAAGGTTTTGAGTTGTAGTTCTTTCTAAGAACTATGTTGATTCCATTTTTTGCTTGGATAAACTTGTGAAGATTACCAAACGTATCCCAGATCCAAAGAAAGATACAAAGACAGATGAAGAGATATATTCAAAAACAAGTGATTTAGTCTTGTCAATTTTTTACCATGTCGACCCATCGGAAGTGAAAAAGATAACTGGCGGGTTTGGAGAAGGGTTTGACAAGTCAAAACAGAAATTTCCGGAGAAGGTGGAAGGTTGGACATTAGCTCTTAAAGAGGCAGGCAACATATCTGGGCGGGATACAAGAAACAGGTAATACATATTATGATTAGTCTTATTTAATTTCTGAGCTTCTTTAGAACTGCATAATCCTATTTTTAGCTTCTTAATGGCTGTTTATAGTCGTCTTCTTGTTTTTCCCCTTTCATGACTCTTTTGATTCGCTGCTCTTCCAACTATGGCAGGGATGAAGCGATTCTTATTGATGAAATTGTCATCTATATTTTGAAAATACTGAGCCGTACAAGCAGCAATAGTACTAAAGGCCTAGTTGGAATGGATTCCCGTATAAGGGAAATGAAATCAAAATTATGTATGGGCTCAAATGATGTTGGCATGATTGGAATATGGGGTATGGGAGGATACGGTAAAACAACCATTGCTAGAGCTGTTTATGACCGTATGTGTTCTGAATTTGAAAGTTGTTGCTTTCTTGAAAGTATTAGAGAAGTTGCAGGAAAACCTGGTTTGACTTGTTTCTAAACTATTGAGGGAAGGAATCCAAACAATAAGAACTCTAGGTTTGGTGCAATAAAGGACAGGTTCCAATACATGCGTGTTCTTGTTGTTCTTGATGATGTGGATGATCTAAAACAGTTGAAAGCCTTAGCTGGAGAGCATAAATGGTTCGGTCCTGGTAGTAGAATTATTATAACAACCAGAAATAAACAGTTGCTTGTTGCACATGGAGTGGATCAAATATATGTTGCCAAAGCTTTAAATGATAAAGAATCTTTTCCGCTATTTACTCAATAGGCACTCAAGAATTGCCATTCAACAGATGAATTCATCGAACTCTTGATGCTCTCACGCGACATGATCAAGTATGCTAAGAACGTTCCTTTAGCTCTCGAGGTTCTTGGTGGCCACTTAGCTGGCAAGAATAAACTTGAATGTCAAGACGAATTGCATCAACTTAAAATATCTCCTCCAAGTGGAATTAATGACGTGCTTAAAAGAAGTTTTGATGGACTTGATAATCCTTTTCAAAAAGATATGTTTCTTGATATTGCATGTTTCTTTAAGGGGGAGGATAAAGATTATGTTGTCAAAGTATTTGAAGGTTGTAGGTTCTTCCCACATGCTAATCTAAGAGTCCTCATTGATAAGTCTCTCATCTCCATTTTAGATAATAAACTTTGGACGCATGATTTAGTACAACAAATGGGAAGGGAAATTGTTCATCCACCAGAAAGTGACCCAGGCAAATGGACCAGATTGTGGGATCATAATGATGTCTATACTTTGTTGGCAAACAATATGGTAAGAAACAACTACATTCAAAATTTGTTTATTTTCACTTGCATTACAGTAGATCATACAATGTGCAATGCTCCCCCTGCCCCACTAAAGATATAGCATTACTTTATGATGTTGACTGTCCTTGCTTTTGGTTACAGGTGGCACAAGAACTTGTGGGCATAATCCTAGATTTGTCTAAAATAGAGAATTTGCATATAAATACCGAATTCTTCAAGAGGATGACCAAACTTAGATCGCTTAAGGTTTGCTATGCTCACCAATCTGGAGGCTTTGAATACCTTATCCAAAAACAGCCCTTTGCTAATATCAGTCTCTTCAATGGCGCAAATGGAGCAAGAGTACCTTTAGACTCAAATGTGACTCTTTCTAGGGACTTTCTTACTTTACCAAATGGTTTACGATGCCTCTGTTGGCATGGATATCCCTTTGAAACTTTGCCACTTCATTTTTATCCACAAAACCTTGTTGAACTTAATATGTCATATAGCAGCATAACAGAGTTTTGGACGAAGAGGAATGTATAGTTATTAGTTGACTATTTTAGTTGTTGTCTATGTGATTTGAAATTGAGGGCTAAATGATTTGAATTTTTATTTTGACAGAAATTTGATAAATTGAAAGTTCATCAAACTAAGTCATTCCCAGAAACTCATTAGGACACCGGATTTCACAGGGATGCCAAATCTGGAGGTGTTAATTCTTCAAGGCTGCACAAATTTAGTTGAGGTTCATTCATCTGTGGGTTCCCTCACAAGCCTCAAATTATTAAATCTGAAAGACTGCTCGAATCTTCAAAATTTTCCAAGTGAAATCCATACATCTTCTCTTGAGATCCTTGCACTCTCTGGATGCTCTAAGCTTGAGATATTTCCTAAGATCAAATGCAATATGGAACACTTGTCAGAGCTTCAACTAGATGACACTGCTATACAGGAAACCTTCATCGATTGAAAAGCTTACGGGCCTTGCTCTTTTGAGTGCCAGGAATTCTAAACATTTACAACACCTTCCTAGCAACTTTGGAACTGGTTTAAAGCATCTGAGAACTATTTATTTTTCTGGCTGCTCTCATCTTAATCGATTACTGGAGAAGTTGTAGTTGCTGGAAAATTTGGAAGAACTCGATGCAGGTGGAACGACAATGCCACAGCCACCACTCTCCATATGCTCTTTGGCAAAACTCAAAGTGCTGTCCTTTCACAGATGTGAAGGTTTGTCCCTCTCTCAAGATCTTTATGTTTCTGGGTTAATTAGGCTCCAACTTCAGTTGGAACTTCTAAATTTACAACTTCTGAGACTACTCTAGTTCTAGTGAGCTGACACTCATTGCTATATCTTGATTTTCATAGCATTGGCTCTCATGCACAATCTTGAATTTTCATGATACAGGTACCATTTCATTCTTTTGCTGAATTTACTATTACTGGAAGTGAAATTCCAGTGTGGTCTAAGTTGGGGTTCAAGGGTTCTTCAGTGGGAATAAATGTGCCTGGAAATTGGATTGACAACACTTTGAGGGGTTAGCTCTTTGGGCTGTTCTTGAAGTCCATGACCATAACTCTCTAGCAAACTCCAATAACGATATGCAATTCTGCCTGGACTTTTATTTAATGCACGGCAACTATAGGTTGATTTCCGATACTGGCACTGTCCTCAATAGAGGTTCCAAGATCATGTGTGGTTGCGTTATTTCCCATCATGTACATTCAAGACGACAAGAGTGCTGGACAAATCAACTTATCTCAAGGCTTTTCTTCTCACTCATGGGGAGAACTTGCGGGCGAAAAAGTGTGGCCTATTCCCCATGTGCTGGGACGAGAGCTGGGTCGAGAAATTATTGGCTTGAACCCTGGAATGAAGATTATAGAGGGACGACCACATAAGGAGAATGATGAACGTTCTCACTGGCAATTTCTCAAACAATTTTATGCTGAGAGCACTTGATTGAAATAAATCAATAAATCATCCTGTAATCCATAAGCAATTCACCTAAATCATTCTTACACTCTAGATTTTCAGTTTTCTTTTCCGCCTAATATTATATCTGAAAATTTAAGGCAAATCCAGAAACGCCTGAACCAGTGATCCACTTGTTATAAAGGCCCGACAAGGTTTGGCCCGTGATTTACAATCTAAGCCCACCAAGTTGGCCAATCGAAACGACGACCTTTTAAAGCGTTTCAGCCGCGACGAAGTTCTCTCCGCTTCTCCATTCTTTTGGTCAATTTTCTTTGCTCCGATCTTCGTCTCAGAGAAAACTTAACACCGGAATCAGGAGAGATAAATCTCGAGGTTAGCCTTTTTTTTTTTTATTCCTCCTGTTTGTAACAAAAACAAAGAAGCATTTATTAAACACACTTCTGATGTTACTGGTCTTAGTGTATTATGTGTTTTCTTTTGGTGCACGTGCACCACTCGTTTGATGAAATGTTTGTTAGAGAAAATTAAGTCTTTTCAATATTAAACGAAGGATTTTATTATCTATTGTTTCTGAGAAAATGTAAAAATATGAAACAAATGAATTAATTGTTCAGTTTGTCTTTTTGGTTCTTGAGCATCTTGTGAATTTATGCATTGGACAGAATGCCGTTAGTTGATTCTGTTATATGATCACTTCAATATTGCTGCTTAATGGTTGCCATTACTATAATTGGCCTGGCCAAAATGTGACCTGGTATATATATATATATATATATATTTTGGTGCACGTGCACCAACATCGTTTTATGAAAATGTTTGTTAGAAGAAATCTAAGTCTTTTCAATATAAACGAAGGATTTTTATTATCTATTGTTTTCTGAGAAAATGTAAAAAATATGAAAACAAATGGAAATTAATTGTTCAGTTTGTCTTTTTTTGGTTCTTGAGCATCTTGTGAAATAATTATGCATTGACAGAATGCCGTAGTTGATTCTGTTAATATGATCACTTCAAAATATTGCTGCTTAATGGTGCCATTACTATAAATTGGCCTGGCCAAAATGGTGACTGGTTATATTATATATATATATATATATATATACATATATATATGATACTAGGGATTTATCTAAGTTTCAAGAATTAGGTCCCATTATATTGCAGATGGCTGGTGGGATCCTTATGTAAAGGTAGTATAACTTTTGAATTCCTTGACTAGTGTTTATCAAATTGATACGGATCGGATCAAAGAATGAGATATAAGTTCGCCTCTATGTCACCCCACGTTTATAATGAAACGGAAACACCAATAATCGAGATTAAACGCTCTATGGCACCCCACGTTTATACTGAAACGGTAACACCAATAATCGAGCAAAGAACAAGATAAACGCCAGAGCAAAGAACAAGATAAACGCCACAATGAATTGACAAGTTTACCTTAATTCTTGATGCAATTAGAGGAAGCAATCTCTCACTATCACTCTAAGCAAAGGGAACAAGCAAAGCTTGAACAAATTGTGTTTTCAATATCTCAAAAATTGTGTTCTTACATGGAAGGCAAGTTATTTATACTAAAACAAGAAACTAGGCTCAATAAAGCATAAAACACACAAAACACGCCTAAGTCAGTGTTTGGCACGGCCGTGCTTCTTCTAATTTCCAAGTCAGAAGCTTGCACGGTCTGGGGCGTGCTAGTTGGCATGGGCGTGCTTCTTCAAAACTCACAAGTCAGTAGCTTGCACAGTCTGGGGCATGCTAGTTGGCACGGGCGTGCTTCTTCAAAACTCCAAGTCAGTAGCTTGCACGGTCTGGGGCGTGCTACTGGGCACGGGCGTGCTTCCAATAGGAAGCACCAATGGATCTCCTTCGTCGTTCACCATGCCTCCTTGTGATCCAGCGACGAGTGATGATGGATCCGTATCACAAATAAAGCTCCAATTGGTCTTAGAATGGTAAGATTAACCCTGTAAATTGTGTATGAGGTATGTGTATGTTTCACCTTTTGAATATATATTGTAACTTAATCTTCTCATTGTAAGTTGACTTCTTGTTTCAAGTAAAAAGTATGAAATTGAGGATAAGAATAGCATGCCACTGATGTTTTCAATGGCTATTTCTGTTTTGATTGTGCGTTTTTCTTTCGAATCACAGGCAGTGCCATAGATTGTTATTAAATTTTTGTTCATGTTAATAACAATTCTTGTTTGGCTTGGTAGCTAATTTCTTTAAATTTTTGTTCATGTTAATAACAATTCTTATTTGGCTTGGTAGCTAATTTCTTTTTTTACCCCTTATTTTTGTCATATTCTCCAGATTTTTGCTTAAATATTACTTGAATCAGAATTTCATGATTTTTTACCCCAGTTTTATAACAACGTGATGGTATAGAGGATTACTGAATTACCCCGTAGAAGCTTCATTGAGACCCTTTTTATTTTCATGATGTTGTTCAACATTGTTAGATACTAATTAAGTGAACTTTTGTTAGACTCCCTGAGTGCATGGAAATGCCAGATTGATTTGAAGAGCAAGTCGTGGAAGATCACTATTCTGTTAGTAGTCCTAGAAGAGTCCTTAGTTTTTCAATAGTCCTAGAAGAGTCCTTAGTTTTTCAAAGAGGAAGAGGGGAACTGTATCCTTTCAAGACCCTGATGACAAGCCTTCAGGCTTTGGAGTGTCTGGAGAGCATGGACTAAAAACTTCGGAAGTGTACGGTTTTGTTGGGTCTATTACAACTATTGTCGCTATAGGTTCATTTCTTATAAAACTCCATTATGTTGAAATTTATGCTGTCTAAAATCATATAAATATTACAGCTTTCTTGAATATCTGAATTTCTCTTCCATTACCAAGGAATGGTTTTGCAGAATGCCTTATCCTGCTCCTGTCCATCTGGATTTCATGAGATTTATAAATCTGTTACACAAAATTAATTCAGTAATATGTTAAAAATATTTTTACATATTTTGTGCTCATATGAAAATTATTATGCTTTTAAAATTTGAGCTATAAATGGTTAGTGGTATTTTCTCTTTAAGAATTCTACTCAAGAGCATGTAGCTCTGCTAATTTCATATTGATTTCTTTTGTTCTGCCTGTGCAGTTATTTTCTTGGTATGGGCTTATGTTCCTGAACCTTGTTTACACTCAATTGGGATCTTTTATTATCCCAATAGGTCTGTACTATGCACACTATCTTATTTCTTTTTCCGCTTTAGGTAATTGTAAAATTTCTTTGCTCTACCAAAAACACATTGCTTGCTTGACTAAATAATACAATTAAATAGCTGAAAGTCTCTGAGTGTCAACCTATTTCATCGACTAAAATACTCTTAATTGTGTTTCTGGCAATTTTCAGGTATTGGGCACTGGCCATCCCAACTTATGCGATGGTTACCGTAGTACTAGCACTTATCTTTTACATTGGCCTCAACTTCTTCTCGACTCCTCCTGCAACTTCTATAATTACAATTTATGGTAAGTTGTGGCTTGTTTGTTGTGTATGTTGCTTGATTTTAATAAATTTTTTTTTTTTTAAAGTTTTAACCATCCGGGGTCCGAAGTCCACTGCCCGACTAATGGCAGGCAAAGCGCTTCCTGCCAAGTGTTTAAAAAGACTCCATATCCGGGGCTCGAACTCGAGGCTTCTGGTTAAAGGAGAAGGGATTCATCTCATTCCATCTCACCCCTCGGAAGTTGATTTTAATAAAATTTAGTAAACTACAATCAATAATCTAACAGTTTCCACTTATTCAGTAACTGTAGTGATATATGCAAGCACTTTTACCATAGTATTTCACACCCGTGATACCGGCAACTGTTATATGATCATCCCTTTTATTTTGCAGATGAATTCAGCAGAGAACCTGTAAATTCTGTTCCTTCGACCACTGTAGACGAGCAACCCATTGAGCCCATTTCTGATATTGGTATTGATAAGATAAACACTCTCATGTTTACCGATATAAAATGATAGATTCACCATTGCATTCTGCTTCATATATATTAATGGTCTGTTTTTGTTTCATAATGGATGGATATGTGAATTTTACTGTTTACTGTTATTGTGAACAACTGAACCATTTGTGTAATTGTTTTTATGGTTAAGTATTAAATTCATAATCAAGTGTCTAAATGCATGAATTAATGAAAATTATATAATTTATAACCGAGTACTAGTTTGTTGAAGATGGTAATCTACATTTTGTCAAACGATCAAAGAACAGTCACATTAGCCTTCTTGTGTTGCTCTCATGTGTCCTAATTCATTTACAACAAAGACATGTCGTTTTCTTTGTAACGACAGGAGGACTAAATTGGGGATAATCGGACTGTCGTTAATGTTTGTCGTTTCATTTGCTAAATCACCGGCTAGTTAATAAGAAATATACAACCTCTCAAATAACTTAAAAAATATTTAAACTATTAATTTAAAATTTACAAATAAAATGTTATATATAAAATGAATTGTGAATCAAAATAATTACAAAAATGTAATAGGTTTAATTTGAGTGAAAATGACTCGAGTTTTTCAAGTAAAAAGGTGAGTGTTAAAATTCTTGTAAATAGAGCTTCCTTTTATTAGCCGGACACGGTGTAAACAGGATTATATTTAACCCAACGGGTTGATTGATATAAATTGAAAAGTAAATAATAATTACAAAGAAAT